GCGGGTCACGGCGCTCACGGCCCCCAGGGCGGCCGCACCGCACTCCTCTCCTCGGGCTCAGCTCAGCAACGACCAAGCTGCTCACTGCGCCTTGGCGAGTGAACGCCAGGCTTTCAGAGCTGCTAATGCAGCAGGACAAAGCCGGGAGGTGAAAAATAACAAATAAATAAAACTATTTCATTAGCTTGTGATCGTCAGCAGTGATAAATATTTCAGGATTATGACGGAGCAATATTGTGGAAGAGCACTTGGAGAGTGGGGAGCGAGGCTGCACATCTCATTTACACTGGCTTCGCTTGCCTCTTGCCCCATGCTCCTAAAATATGATTTAGCATCTGGTATATAATACTGATTTCCTTCCAACCTTAACAGGTTTAGAATTTATATCCTTTTATGCATCGTCTATTAGGCTTTTTCTTTATTATTTTTTAATCCTATGCATCTTAAAAAAGAAAAAAAGGAGAAAAAAAAAGAGCGCTAATTCCTCAGCCAAACTCGGAAGGCACAAAACAAAGCAGGGCCCAGCACAGGAACATGCAACTAAGAATAAAACATGAACATGGCCAAAGCACCTATTAACACTTCATTTCATCCCAGGAATGGTTAATTCTGATGCCTTTTCAGAATTCATGGGTTTCAACACATTTGTAACACTGAGCATCACTAAGCAAGGCCAGCACCCCCAGCACATGCCTTCAGTACTAGTTTTAAGTTATACTGCAGCTGATTAATTTTAAACAGTCCTGACTATTCGACTCCTGTTAACACAGGGACCGTGGCAGGTCAGTCTTGTAGCTGCGGCGAGTGCAAGCTCTTGTGCGTGACCGCTTGCAGTAGAGCACAGGACTGGACACGCTGCAGACCTGAACTAAAGCCTAACGCTAGCAAGAGTCAAGCCTTAGCATGGGATTAAAATGAGGAAAAAAACTGAAGTACAGTGAAAATGAACCACCTAAGAGTCATGAATATTAGTCCATAGAATAACCATGGTGGAACAATAGTTAGAACTTATTATGAGTATGGACCCTCAGAAATGAGACTTATGTGCAATTTGATTCTTGTGTGCTAATATGATTATTCAGCAAAAACTAGAGAGAGCACACAGTATGCTAGTTGTGACTACAACATATTGAAAATAAAAATCTTTTCAAATGCAGACTGTTCAGGTGACTGCTTCCCTTTCATCAGAAAAGGGTAACATTGTACTCCAGTACCAAAAATCAAGAGGAGGCTCAATTTCTGCATTAATAGCCGATGTTCCAGCTGTAGTTGAATTGTATCCAAAGGAAAACCTGAATACTTGAATGCCAGTACCAATACCGAACACTAATCGCTTGTTTCAGATGCACATCTATTGCTGAAGTGTATTTTCCAGAACACTAACTTCTGTCTTGCTTGACGGAAGCCAAAGAATTCTATACTGAGTAATTAATTGCTAACCACTGAATTGAAGTGCCAGAGATCATTAATTCAATGATATCCAAATATTCCTATTTGTAATTTAGTTATGAGACATGCTGGACTTCAGATGATCCCAATTACGTCTTTTCCATAAATGGAGAAAAACACAGTGTTTGGCCAATTAAAGATCTACTGGAACCATACAATTTGTTTTTCGCTCATTTACTATGTGGTTAAGAAAAATCTAAGATTAGAGGAAGATGACCATAATAGGAAATAGTTGACTGTTTTAGAGCAGTAGAGCCAGTTGGCAAGGGCATTCTAGGATCTGATTGGCGATGTACACACCTAAAAGATGTGGTGACAGATCTTCAAGTGTTTTGTCAAAAACCTCTACGAATCACTCTTAACTGCCCTAAAATAGAAGACCTCAAAAGAAAAGAACCACCCAGTCCTCAAAACCCCATCCTTTTTGCAGCTATTTGGATGAACAGGGAGCTACACATACTTCAGTGCTGTTACTGGCCAACTGATACTTGGATAAATCAGCTCCCCTTCCCACCGACTTGATCTTCTTCTGTTTCAGCAACCTTTTAAACTAACTTCCCAATAGACTGGCATATTTCAGTAGGAAACTGAAGATTGTACCATGGAGCTCAGAGGAAAACGCAGCCCCATTAGCTCTATACCTCATGCTAGCACTCAACTTTGCCTTCCACTCAGCAATCCAAAATAATTTAAATAAGGAAAGGTATAACTGAATGAAAAATGACCCTTTCGGTTGTGTTTAAAGTTACTATTTCTTTTCAAACACTCTATTCTCTGGCTGCACAATATGAAAGTATATGAAATTCTAATACACTAAGAATTGATATTTAACATTTTTCTCTTCTTAAAAGAGAATTCTAGAGCAGTCATTTTAAATGTATTTCATAGTATATATTTTTCTTCAGACTGACTTTTTGGGGGAATTCAAAATGCCCAAATAAAACCTGACAAGCCAGCTCGCGATTTTACATTCCTTCCTAACAACAGCCAAACAAGACCCAATATATAACCTAACACAGTGTTTTATCTCTGGTCATTTTATCTTAAATGTTTTAATTTCCCTTTATCATCCTTACAAATTCTAACGCAATCCAAAACATATCAGTATATTTTTATTTGTAACTTTCACAAAATAAGGCATGCTGTTTTCCCTCAGTGCCTTTTGGCGATTCTCCACTTCTCCCTACACTAAACTCTGCTACTGATTTTGTGGAAAATATGGAGAACTTCCATTTAAGTTGTGCATGGTGCAGCCTAGCTAATAGGAAGCAATTAAACACCGTTGATATCAAGCTGCAGAATACAAAATGGGAGGTCACCTGCAAAAGGCTAGCAAGACAGATACTTGGTTCCTGACTTAGCTGATGAATACAGGAAAGAAAAGGTTAATAATAATTCCCCTATTTATTGGCAGAGAGCTGATAGGATCTCATTTCCTGAAGAAAAACAAAAAAAACACACTCAGGAACTTACCTATTCTGATAACTGTAGTAGGCAGCATCACGAGGAATAGTACACAACTGCTTACCATAGCAACACAAGGTCTGCGGAGAGAACTCATACTGGAAAACAAAGACAAGAAAAAAATAATCTTTACAACGTGACTATGTTGAGCAAGTATTTGATAGGCAAACCCAACATTTAAGGATATTATATAATCTTTCTCAAGGTATTAGGTCAGCATAGCTCACTGAGCTAACAATTAACAAGTTAAAGATACAAGCCTCTACCTGTCTAACTTATTGCAAAAAAAAATAAGAGAAAAAAAAATCATATTACTTATGACTGAAAAAGCTGTTACTTAGAACAAGAAGGATGCTGTCTACTCTTTTTTAGTTCTAGCTTGTAGACATAAATCTGAATTTTTACCACCCCTTTCATTAACTATTTCAATTACAAAAAAAAAAAAAAAAACACCCTACACAAATGCTACGTTTCAGCTGCTTAACCAAGCTAAGGTATTTGGGAGAACAGAACTCAGCCCAACTCCCTGGGATACACATACCTTGCGCCCACAACAGTAGCCAAGTGATTGCATAACAGGGTCAATCTCTTGTTCAAAAACCTCTGCGAGTTTAGTGCAAAACTTATAGACCCTGGATGTCTTGCGATTGTAAAGCCAGGCATTGTTAAACATCAGCCACACGTCGTCCACATACTGCCAGGGTTCTTGGTACTGCCCAGTATCCAATTTACGTTTAATGGTTGAAAGGTCCATGGGATTCTTCACAATGTCAAAGTAATCCTTCAAATACACACATAAAAGCCTTCATTTTTAAGCTGTGTTTCACACTATTCACACAAATGATGAAATGTTCACATAAATAAAGATGAAAAATCCTACATAAACATTTTACATTTTGCTATTGCCAACTCACCGGAATCCCTAAAAGCTGGGGATCCACAGGCTGTCTGAAAGGCAGAGACTCTGGGTCCTGCCGGTACAGAGCTTCGAGGGTAGGCATGAGCGCTTGGCGCAGCTCCTCAGGCTTGAAAACTGTTAATTGAAATTAGAAAAGTTAGCAAATTTCATCTAATAATCTTAACTTCTTAGTTCCACTAAAAAGAAAAAAGGCAAAAAAAGCCCAACATATTAACACAAAAGTCTTGGAGGTTTTCTGAGCTGCACAACTATCACAAGGAAAACTCACAATCAAGAGGACACTACATAGTTTTTTTCATTACTGAAATTACATTAGATGATGTACCTAAAATCTGCAGATACCAACTGTAGATGGTAAAGATAATTTTTCTAGAGCATAAAAAATAATTTTCTAAGAGCCAAACTAACCAACTGCTTCAACGTGGATGAAGTCTAGCTCTTCAAAGTAGAGACTGAGAACATATCTTTCTCTTCCTAACACTGTTCACTGTTTCATTTCTAGTATTTTTCTAGCAAAAAAAACACTTAATGGACAGGGTCAAAGAGTGACAAAGAGCTCTACAGAAAGCAACGAGATGTCTTGGTAACTGGCACAGGAATTTTCTGGGTGCAGCATACAGACAGTCCCAGTCTGAAGGACTGTTAATCGACTTTGAAAGCGTTAATACTTGTAGACATATATGCATCATTACAAACACTTGGCAACAGTGGCATGGCAACAACCACGTTTCTTTCAATACGGGATGACGATGACAAGAAAGCCAACATTTTCTGAAAAATAATGATAATTTTGGGAGCTCTTTCAGCACCTCAGTAGTGTAATTACATTTATTTTCTTAGAAAAAAGGTCTTGAAATAGGGAAGAATGTCTATCATTTAAAAAAAAGAAAAAGAATAGTAGATGGCATCCAGTATTTATCTACTTGGTTGCAATGAGGATGAAACCAATAAATGGGACCAATTAGGAGTTCTGCTGAGGCAGCACCTTGCAGTGACCCTCAAATGGTATTTTGTGAAGATATGAATAGCTATCATTGCTTTGGGGCCTCTAGTTGATCTATGATTTTTAAGAAGTTTTTTGTATTGTTTTTAATTCAGTTCACATTTCTGAGAACAAAACCCCCTTCATCTCAATTGTGCCTACTGAAATTACATGCCAAAATAAAGCAAAGCAAAAAGTTGAGTTGATGCTACTCAAAAACATCTGAAGCATTAAAATTTCAATTTTACTTTAGCATTTCTGCTCATGGCAGATCCTGGAAATTGTCAGCTGGAGTAAAAACAGTCCTTGCAGAGGAAGGGGAAGCTTCAGGCAGGTTGAGTGCAGTGCCAGTGACTGGAGGCTGGACTGTTGCTTACAAACCCACTTAAGCTGAATTACGGCAAAGGACTAAGCAAGTCGCTAGAAGGATTTCAGCATGGGTCTGCCTTACAGGTACAGCAAGATCTCATGCTGTTGCTACTGAACTCAAACTAGCCAATTTTCAGCCCTGGTAAAACGACAAAGCTCTTTCTGGATCTAGTGATAACCTATTTCCAGACACTACGAATGGAAAGGAAGCCTATCGTGCATTCTCAGAACTTCATAAACATTTGCAAAATTAAGTGATGGAATTACCAAGAGCAGAATGAGACAGAGAGCTCATGTGTAGAGCATGAGGAAAGGTGCTTCCTATTGTTTGTGGAAATGTCATACTTTGACTCAGGTGCTTTACAACTTGACACTCTAAATTAATTTGCTCAGTAAAATCTAAAGGTCAAAGAGTCCCTTTTAATGACCTAATCTGGCCACCTGCTTGTCATCTCTTACAGAATTCTCCCTGCAATGACCCCTGTATCAATACACCACTGGGCTAGAATCCCTTTCAAAACAAACCTAGCATTGATTGAAAACCCCCAAAAAACAGACATTTAGCATAACTTTTGCCAAGTTCTTTAAAGATTAATCATCTTGCCTAAGAAAGTTTGCACTCTCATTCTGAAGTGAAGTTTGAAAAAAATAAAACCCCAAATCCATTTGCTCTGATTTCCGACCTCCCCCCAAAATATATAAAAAAAAGTTGCCTTATTCTTTAGCAGTAAAACAACAACAACAAAAACCCTTTGTGTTTCATCTTCAGAACTCTGTACCTCTAATAAACATGACTAATAGCAGAAAGCATCATCATGGATATCCCCATGCTCGGATTCTGCGAGAACTTTTCTGCTCTTCCCTCTCTTATTTTTTCAATTCACCTTCCTCTGTTCTCCTCCTTAAGCAAGAAGCTCTCCATAAGGAGCTTGCAGCCAGTTACCCCATTTTCCCATTTTGTCTTGGATGCGTGGGTGGTAGAGAGCAAATGGGATCTTTGCCTGAGTCATGATGATGTATTATCTGCCTGACAAGAGTATAATGTTTTTTTCTTTTCTTTTCTTTTCTTTTTTTTTTTTTTTAAATAGAGGAAATCCTGCTTGTGACTACTAAGGAGAAAATTCTTGAGGAAGATGAGGACACATCTGATATGCTTAAAGGAAAGTAGTCCTTGTAGACTTTGTCTTAGGGAAGAAGCCACTAAAACTAATCTTGGAGGTCATCAAGCTATAAAGTAGCCATCTCTCACAAGAGCAGGAGATAGGAGGTACCCCAAAATACTACACTTCTTTAGAGAGTAAATAAAAACAAAATAAATAAATAAAAATAAATATAAAAATAACAAAGCAAAATAAAAAATAAAATAACATAAAAATAATAAAATCAAATAAAATAACAACAAAAAGCCCTGTGGGGGTATCAAGCCCCACTTACGAAGGCAGAACTATGAGTAGGGAGAGAAGAAAAGCCTGTTAACAAGGTGCCCACAATTGTCCAAGATAACCAAACTATAAGGATTCACATACGGGTGAGCTGAGCAAAATCCTATCTCAGCACTCTCTTCCCTGGGTGGAGGCGGGGGGCACAATTGTAGGGATACAACATGGAAAGGAAGGAAAGGAGTTTCAAATACTTCCACAACCTATTAAAACACCAAGATGGTTACCATAAGCTCTTGAACACCTATCAGTTTATGTAACATTTTAATACAAGCTCTCTATTGAAGTTGGACATGCTACTTGGTGAGAAAATCCCACCATTTAAAGCTGTTGATGCAGTTGTACCTACCCAATGTGGAAACGTATTATGTTATAGTTACAACATGCCAGTATTTCTAAGGCGAGAAATTTGTTACTACATAAGATACTGGAAATACGTAGCAAATCAAGTCTAATAATCAGAACACTACAGAATTAGTCTGTCAAAGAGCTGTACTGTAAAAATCTTACTATTTCAACCACTTGGCTCCATTTACACCCAAGTGATTTCTTCTAACCAGCAGCAGCAATGACTCCACTGGGAACCTATCTGGTCTACAAATGCCAATAAACTTTCCAGTCTCTGCGCTACGTTTTGTTTGAATCGGACTCTGCCAACTCAGTGTATTCTCTTTGGCTGGCCCGCTATACAACAAACCAAAAATACCATCTGCAGGAAAATGTGTTTATTGTCAAAAGATTATATTTAGTAATTAAGTACAACCCAAGGCATATACAAAGATTCATGATTCATGTTGTATAAACTTTAAAACCTTGCAACTTCTTCATCACAGCCTGAATATCATATACAGCTGCAACCTTTTCTTTTTACTACAACTGTATGTATTTTTCTTCTTAAAAAATAAATGTCATGAAAAAGAGTATCACTTTCTCTCCTTTGATGCTGGTTGCATGCTGAAAGGTTACCTTTTCTCAAAAACTGACAACAGAAAGTATCAGTCTAAAGAAGCACTAACTAAGAGACCCTGAAAATAGCTAAGGATTTTGAGGCTGAGAAACTCATCTTGCAGACTCCCATAAGGCCTGCATTAAAAAGTGGAACAATTTTCTTTTTCATCCATTTTCTTTAAGCATCTTGTTAATTTATTTCTTAATGACCCAAGGCACGCAATAATTTATGTAAGTCCATTCAAGATCTGTATACATTACAGATTCAGTCATACCTACGTCCAAACAAATTTAAATATGACACTGTAAATCGGCTTAACAGAGCTAACTTACCTGTTCTGAGGAAAACACTTTCAAGTGAACACTACAAAAAAAACTACACAGGTGGTCTTTTAAAAAGTTTGAGGCTAGTGAAGCAGCCTAGTCTCAGAGAAACACAAATTCAGAAAATCAGTTCAAGCACACATCAGGCCAGTGAAGACTAGAACTCATCAGGACAGCTGAGAATGCAGCACAGAAAACTCCTCTCAAAAATAACCTAGAGTCTTAATCCCCCAAATTGATGT